CCAAATGGCAAAAATGGGTAGATTTTAGGAAAACTACTACTTAATATGATAACCTCTCATGAGTTATAAGTTATAACTTAGGCTCTATTCAAGGCACACTCTAACTCATGAAATAAAATGGCATTGCAAAATGTTTTCAAAGACACATGTCTTTTATAATCGTAAAACTGTATTTCAGTGAAGGTGAAGGTTAGAGACATGTGTGAACAGGACCACAGTGCTTAGCCATTTGTTAAATGAGTAGTTCAGAAGGGTAGGCAAAGGGAGAGAGCTATGCCCTGCCCTGCCCTGCATTGTAAAGGGAGTTATATAAGCCTTACAACAAGCATAAGGAAGGGATTATTCTAATCACTGAGACTTGGATAGAGTAACTGTTCTGCCCATAATAGGTGTCAGAACTGGGACCCAAATCCAGATCTGTTCAACTCCAAGACTGGCCTGTGTTTTAATTTCATCAACCTGTGTTTATGAATATGCAGTGATATGTCAGGGTGTATCCAAAACATGTCATACATGGGCCACCTCTTTATGTAGGGTCAATTGTATTTAGTATTTAGTAGTAAGTAATTTTAAATGTCATTTTATATCCAATAAAATATAGATGTGCTATGGAGTGAAACATAGAATTTGAATAATTTTAAATTTAATTTAGATGTGAGATGAAAAAGAAACTTCATTTTTGAGGCAAGCCATTTCAAGTTATGTTCCCAGAGTCTTGAAATGTTGTACCTCTTACTTCTCCCACAGGAGGTACTTAAATAGAAACATTTGAGAAGCCAATACCTGTCCAGTGAAACCACCTTAGATTCGTCCAGTGGTCAAGCTCTTTGTCAAGCTGGATCTAAGCACCAGTGCAGTAGTGACTTATGATGACCTGTGGAGGGCTGCAGCCTCAAAACACTCAACCCCGATTGTAAAAAGTAATTCTTTTATTTTGCAGGAGGCCGTTATTGAAAATCGAGCCCTGTGGATGATGATTAAAAGATGTTTTGGCTATCAGTCAAAAAGCCAGTATCGGATATGGCAGAGGGATTTGGCAGGTGACCCTAGTTGGCCCCCACTAAACCAAACCTCCCACTCTGACATGCCGGAGTGTGGCAGGGGCGTGTCTTACAGCAATCCGGTATTTGAGAGCAACGAAGAACAACTTTGAAGGACATGTGATGTCCAAGGTGATATTACAGAGAAACAATGACAAAAGGGACCAGTTTCATTGATTTTAAGAAATGAGACTCTTGTAACATCAGCTGGAGTTTCGGAGATACCTGTCAAATCATGGTGACAAACTAAAGTCTGTTTGATAAAATGCTTTCTACAGAGAAGAACATTGACCCAGAAGAGTGCTTTCCTCTTGGCTTGTGAAGGTATCGGAGGCGTTCAGTGAAGGCAAGAATGGGCCAAGAATTGCTATGGGCCAAGAGACAAGCAGGCTGAAGGGGAAAAATATGTGATCTTTCTTCTTAGGACAGGACAATACTTTCCTTTTTATAAAAATGAATTAAGGGGAAGTAGTACTGTGTATACTCATGGAGTTGTAACATGTTAAAGAGCATTTTTGAATTTTTACTTCATCGATGGAAAAACTAATGCATGGAAAATGTTACACCAGTCTTTACTGTCTGGGTTCCTTTCCTCTGTAGTGCTTTTCAGATTTGAGGCTTTTTCTTCTGCTTCTGGCCTTACTCTACATGTTATTAAGGATAAGCTCAGCCTATGCTGCAATAAAAAACACCTCTCAGATATCAGTGCCTTAACACACAAGCGCTTCTTCCATGATCCAGGTGACACTCTGGACCTGCTATTCTTACAGCAGTGACTGCTTCAACCTGATGGCTCCATCAACTCGATGCAAGGACTCTTGTGTTGACTGTGATGGGGGAAGGAATAGGCTGGAGATCACATGTGGACTCTTCACTGCCTCACCGCAAAAGTGGCACACATCGCTTTCCCTACGCATATCTCGTTAGTCAAGGATTGGGCCAGGGAGCTGGAAAGTGCACTCTCCTGTGTTTAGGGATGCTTCATGGGCTTATGAGCTGTCACTACACAGGGCCCCACGCTTAGAAGGGCCCACACTTGCTTTAACACTCTGCCGTTTCCATCTTAAAATTCTTAATTTTTGAACAAGGGTCCCCGTATTTTCATTTTGTATCAGGCCCCACAAAATGATAGAATTGGTCTGGGATGTAGTCCTGGGAAGGAAAGGAAAATAACAGATCAGAGAACACTAGTGCTGTCCACTACAGTCCACTTCTCCTAACCCCAGTCACTTATCCTACGTTTTAGGAACCTCTCATGTCACGTGGCCAACTCCAGAAATTTTCACTCCTCTGCTTTATTATTTTTGAGAAACATTAGTCTCATGCTACAGCATTATATGGCACTAGTGATGGAAGTTCTTACACAACCAGTACATTTTTTTAAGTTTGTGGCTTCAGTTTCCAGAAAACTAAAATTTTCCTTATTTTATCACTGTTACAATTTGGTTATATTTGATTTGTTCAAAACAAGGAAGACTCAGGTTTCTGTCACCTCAGGAGACAACACTGAACTCTAGGAGCACATCTACACATAATGCTTTCAGGCAAAAGCAAAATTTTTATTCTGAGCATCAAATCCTGGGTGAATGTTCTGATCAGGGGATAAGTGTCCTGGCCCAGGCTGGCTTTGCAACTTATCAATAGCATTTGCAAGCATTGCTTCCCCCTAATTGGGCTTTTGAGCATGGCTGATGGCTCTGCGATTGCAGCTGATTCTAGGAACGTGGCGTCTCCCAGCCACAAGGGTACCCTGTTACTTCTGGTTTTAAAAGAGGGCATGAAGATATTTTAGTGTTTCAAGACTGCAGAATCATTGTCTTTTTTGGTACACGAAGAAATATTTCCTTTTGCAAAGTCAGCCTCAGCAATGATATGGCAGTTCTGAATGTCCTTTTCTAAAAGTGTTTTTCATTTTCCAAAAGTAGAGGGTTATAGGCAGGGGCAAGCTAGAGATGGTCCGCGCCCTAGTCATGAGCAAGATGGGCCTGCACAGTCACACTTCAGTGTGCCCTTTGCCAAGTGTGTTCACCTCCACTAGCTCACCTGAATTGTACAATTGTCCCATGACTCAACAAGGAAGGGCTTATCATCTCCACCATACAGACGAGAAAGCTGAGATTCAGTAATGGCAAGAGCAGATCTAGGCCTCAAATACAGACCTTCCGAGCAAAGCTTATATTGCTTCCAAACACTTCCTAATTACGGAGCTCCAGCACGGCAGGTTGCTTAGTGTGATCTCACAGTCACGCAAAGAATGGGCAACTCTTTGCTAATACCAGGCCCTCTGTTCAAATGAATGCCAGGCATCCTGCCAGGCCTGGGCTAGAGGTGTGTTCAAAACAAAACAAAACAAAACCAAAATATGATTGTCTTTCTGAGACTTTGAGTTGCTTTTGCCTTGGTCCTAAGTGATTCTATCCCTAGGAAAGGCTGGCAGGGAACAGGAATGAAAGAATCTAGTCCTCCACTAGCCAAGCAGCCATAAAGTCTTTGGGAAAAGAGACTCATTTTGAA